GGCATCCAAGTGAGGAAGACCATTTCATCATTTGAGACATTTTGTTTGAATTTGTTTTTTCCTCTCAAGTTTGTGTAAGGACATTCGAATAAATTTATGTTACTTTAAAGATGTTAAACAATAAATCACGTTTGCGAACTTGCAATTCTTTGAATATTATTTAAACTAATAAACACTGTAAATGGTTCGAAGTTACAGATCTTTGACGAAGTAACATGATTTAAAACAAGGATTTTGACCTTATCCAGAATATACCCTCAAACACCGTACCCTGCTCTTATAATTAACCAATGTAACCTTTTCCTTTCATAAGGTGCAGACAACATGGGGCATCATTTGCATATGACAATTACTATGATTTTCGTTTAAGACGTTCAATGATGATCATTATCTTTACAGATGAATAGTCGAGTAAGTGAATCTAGTTTAGGTTAGTTGCTTGAAAATTGAACTCTATAGAGGAATTTTTTGACTTTCAACAACACCTAGACTATAACAGGTTCTTCTTGACAATCTTAAGAAATTAAATCCGTAAAGCTGAGCTATTCCACTAAGGCAATTTGTTATAGAGGAAGCTTGAAAGCCCTGGCCTTATGAATAGATTACGTTCAAACCATGACATTGCTCGAACACTTGGTAATTCGGTGTTTACTCCACTGCTATTGTCCGGCTGAAGACTTTGTGATGAGATGAACCCTTCAGTGAACTTGATAAAACTGATTATAATGTTAAGTTGTCCCTCTAAAGCAATTGGTTAAACGCCCCGGCTTTATGGATTCAGCTAGCCAAATAACAACAAATTAAATCAAATTTATCTACGCAAGAAATTTTCGGTAATGATGGACTAAGGGAGTTAAGGAACACCTGTTATAGTCAACTACACACGAGCACTCAAAAATTTCATTTTTAGGCCGATATTTTTTGTACTGCCTTTATTAGAGGAGCCTACAAAGCTTGAACAAATGGGATATTTCAGAGGACCGAAATAAATGGTCTAGTAATTGATCATGCTAGTTGCGCCATTTTGTCCGCACCCAATTGAAATGCAAAAGTATGTTGCGATATTTCAAATAATGACATTTTGGGTTACCAAAACCTTAGAAAGGAGGCAACCTAAAGGCAACTCATCCATTTGAACATTTGTCAAAGAGCTGTAACTCTGAAATCATTAAAAGAGCTCTTGATTCCTTTGATATTCTTTGAACTCACGTTTACAATTTGATTCAATTGCGAATAATATTTTACAGCATTTTTATCACTTTCCCTCCTAAAACAATAAAAATGAGAAAAACATTTTCAAACAGAACAGTCTCAGATATGAAGGGTCTGTAAAGCAAAAGCTCGAGAAGCAAATGGGGCACGATCGATTCCAATGACTAGATTGGCAGACAAAGCACGAGACTCCATCCAAGAGATAAAACATAATTCATTCATGTTGCATGCATCTTAGACATACCTATGTGCATCACCTTCATCATTTTAGCATACATGATTTTTTACAGCTTTTAGAGTCAAGTTTCGACTTCAGGACGAAGGATACTCGATTCACAAGTGCCTTTAAAGAATGATGGTGGTTGCTTAACTCAGTGGTGACCGACTTGACATATACAGATCTTAAAGTCAACTTCAGATGAGTTCGAGAACCAATTCAGAACAAATCCAGTTCGGCTCAACTCAACAACGAACAACATATTTCAAGTTAATGTCTTCAAGCCATATTTAAATTCCACAACGGAAGATATTCGGCTGACAGAATTCATCAGTGGGCTTTCTTGTAAAAGGGGAGTCATTCAAATATCGTCTCATTTGGTTCAGACTCGCTCAGAGGAGCCACCTGAAGAACTACGACCGGCTTAGACCTGTGAAGAGAAGCCATTTTTTTTTAAGATAACATTTGCAATATAGCTCAAGACAAGAAGGGCTATTTGTCAATCAAAGACCTTCGAGTTCGACTACGCTCAGCTCTAAGGCACATCATTTGCAGCATATCTTAAGTCGAGAAGGGTTATCTGCCAAAGACCCCTGAGTTTGATTACACTCAGCTTCGGGGGCACATCATTTACAGCATAACTCAAGGCTAGAAGGGTTATATGTCACCAAAGACCTTCGAGTTCGACTACGCTCAGCTCCAAGGCATATCATTTGTAGCACAACTTAAGTCTATAAGGGTTGTCTGCCAACAAAAGACATTTGAGTTCTACTACGCTCAGCTCAACGGCACATCATTTGCAACATAGCTTAAGTCGAGAAGGGCTATATGCCAAAGACCCCCGAGTTTGATTACACTCAGCTTCGAGGGCACACCATTTGCAGCATAACTTAAGTCGAGAAGGGTTATCTGCCAATAAAAGACCTTTGAGTTCGACTACGCTCAGCTCAACGACACATCATTTGCAGCATAGCTTAAGTCGAGAATGGCTATCTGCCAAAGACCCCCGAGTTCGATTACACTCAGCTTCGAGAGCACATTATTTACAGCATAACTCAAGGCTAGAAGGGTTATCTATGACCAAAAGACCTTTGAGTTCGACTACGTTCAGCTCTAAGGCACATCATTTACAGTATAGCTTAAGTCGAGAAGGGTTATTTGCCAAAGACCCCCGAGTTCGATTACACTCAGCTTCGAGGGCACATCATTTGCAGCATAACTTAAGTCAAGAAGGGTTATATGCCAACCAAAGACCTTTGAGTTCGACTATGCTCAGCTCCAAGGCACATCATTTGCAGCACAACTTAAGTCGAGAATGGCTATCTTCCAAAGACCCCTGAGTTCGATTACACTCAGCTTCGAGGGCACATAATTTACAGCATAACTCAAGGCTAGAAGGGTTATCTATTACCAAAGACCTTCGAGTTTGACTACGTTCAGCTCCAAGGCACATCATTTGCAGCATGGCTTAAGTCGAGAAGGGCTATCTGCCAACCTTCGAGTTCGATTATATTCAACTCAGAGGCAAATAAAACTTACAGCATAGCTCGAGGCAAGAAAAACTATCTGTCAATAAAATTGGTCGAGTTTGATTCCATTCAGCTCGATGACACATCAATCATACTACTGTTCGGCTGTAATCGAGGTTTTCAAGTTGAGAAGAAGACCTGGGGTTAACCGTACCGTAGTGACAAAAAACTCATTTCGCAGTATAGCTTAAGTCAGGAAAAGTCATCTGTCGACGAGGACTTTTCGAGTTCGATTTCATTCAGCTCGAACGTCTATCAACCACATGATGGAGTCAAAGAATTATTTTTCAGTCAAATATTTAAACATGGTCTTTGAGCCGAGAAGACCGAAGTTGACTACAATTTGGCAACGAGAAGCCACGTTCCAATTCTGAACTACGACCTCAGTTCCATTTCAAGATAGACTTTATTTCACGACGAATAAGTCCTCTGCAATACAATTCGACAGGGAGTTATTCTTGATTGAAATATCAGAGTCAATTTTCAACTCCATCTAACGAAAATTTGTGTCATTTTATATTTACCCTATTTTCTGTTTCACGAAAAAGAACAAACAGGGGCAGCTGTAGACACTAATTTTCCGCCTCTCCTCACGCCAACGGCCCCGAGCTTTCCGGTCGGTTATCTCGACACCAATCCAACAAACAAACAACCAACCGAGAGTTTCATTCAGAGTCAAACTCCTAAAAATAAGGTTCATAAGCACTATAAATAAGATGTAAACTCACATTCAAAGGGAGAGATTACACATTTGTACAAAAATCACACACACAATAGAAGAGAAAAACAGAAGATTCGGATGGAGGGAATCGAAAAAAAATCGAGAGATCGAGTAAAAAGAACAGAGAATACAAAAAGACTCACCTTCTTCTTCGAACGGTCGATCATCGTGCCTTCATCGGAGCCAAAGTCTACGTTTTTCCGAAGGAGCCAGAGAAAAATAGTGAGAGAGAGTGAAAACTGAAAGGGTAAAGCGTGGGTTCAGTTTTAAAGAGGAGTTATTGTGCATGATATTTGTAAAAGGGGATATTCCTGCATACATTGCAATTTGTATGGTTTTTATTTAAATCATGAAATCATTCTACTTTTATTTTAAGCATCTGATTTTATTTATTTCGTTTTGATCCTGAATCTCTTCTGGTTCATGTTTTATGACTTCTTGAATCATGCACATATTGTTGATAATTTGCATTTTAGTCACTGAAGTTTATTAATTTTAATTTTGATTTATTATTTTATACGTTTTTATTTGGTCACTAATGTAAAATTTTTTGTTTATCTTTTTTTCGAAATTTAACAATTTATTATTTTTATTTTTATTTCTATTTGATTTTTTTATTCTTTTATTTTATTTTTTCTTAATTTCACTTATCTTTATTTTTTATTATTGTTATTTTAATATTCTTTTATTTATTTATTTATTTATTTAATTTTTTTCTTTTGACCTATTTTCTTTTATTTATTTTTCTTTTTTTTCTTTTGATTTATTTTATTTTTTACTTATTATTATTATTATTATTATTTTTCCTTTTTCCTTTGATTTATTTAACATTTATTTATTATTTGTTATCTAACATTTTTTTACCTTTTTAGAGAAAATACAACCAATCAAAGGTAAGTAATTCGAATCGGTGTTTTAAATTTCAATTTAAATTTTTTATTTTCGCAATTGAAGACAACCGATAAATTAATTGGTACCGAAAGGACGATTCAAGGTGCTAATCCTTCCTTGACCATAACCGACTCCCGAACCCGATACATTTCTGGTACAACGTAGATCAGGTAAGATGATGCCCGATCCACCTAAATTCATTTTAAAGTGGTCGATGACGTCTCCAATTCATTTAATCTAAGTCGAAGCCTAATTCCGAACCCAACCGAAAGACGGTTCCGACATTGATAATGTAAAATTACCGGAAATAACATTCTCAGCCAACCAAACATGAAAATATAGATTCTATTCTCATAAAATATAAATTATTCTCATAAAAATCTCATTTTACCCCAACCAAACCCAACCTTAAAGTAAACGACCACGAAAACAAGCAAAATATTTAAGAAAGAAACAAAAATGTCTTATACGCTTATTCGCTAGTCGCTACATCATACAAAGTCAGAGATAGCCTTCGCTGCTTCTCCTTTTCACTCTATCTCTTTCATTCTCCTCTCCAAAATCATTAGATCTCTTTAACACGTCTCCAAGCACCCGTATTTTATCGGGGGAGAAAACTATGTCTGACGCTTTGATCAATGGAGTGGCGGGAGCCGGTGGAGGGATCATAGCTCAACTCATAACATATCCTCTTCAAACTGTACGATTCACTTTTTCCTTCCCTTTTTCAAATTTAAAAATAAAAAATCTATTTAATTTTTTCCCGAATTTCTGCTTTGATCTGCAGGTAAATACTCGTCAACAAACAGAACGTGATCTCAAGAAAGAGAAACGGAAAATCGGAGCCATTGAACAAATGTGCCAGGTCTTTTTTCTTCAATAATTTTAGTTTTAGATGACGGCTTTACGTTATAATTAACGGGAACTTCTGAACATTTGACGGAATATGCTAATTGAGCTGTTTTAAGTTAGGCACTGTTTGCTTGTTGATTTTTCAAACCTTCCTTTTTTTTTCTTTTTCGCAATATTAGCAATTATTCTAGAACTAATATTAGCAATAGTATTAACAATTGACAGTAATTTAGTGTTTAGTATTGAATTTGTTTGCTCGCTTTTGTTTAATAGGTTGTAAAACAAGAAGGATGGGAATGGTTATACGGAGGCTTAACGCCTTCTTTAGTCGGTACAGCTGCATCTCAGGTGATAACCTTTTCGATTTCTAGCATGATTGTTCTTGTTCTTGTATTACTTTAACTTTAGTAATGATAATGTTGCCAAGTGAAACAAATTAAATTAATTGTTCAATCAATAATGATAGGAAGTTATTTTTTTGTATGCTTGTTGTTTTATACCATATGCTTCTTTGTTTGGTTGCCGAGAAAGTGATGGGAAAAATTAGAAGTGGATTTATGAACTTAAGAACCATTGCCCAATTTATATCATGCTTGAGTTTTACGTTGAAACTTATCCCTAGGTGTCTGTGATCCTTACCTTTGAAATTGTTCTTTCTTAATGTGTACAATTTGGTTTCGTACTGTAATCTGTCTAAGAGCACTTATTGATAAATGGATTGCGACTTTCAATGTAAATGATAAGTGGTCCCATGTGATGGCAGATTTGTCCCCAGTGCATTTATTTATTATTTATAGTTTTTTTCTTCGTTTTTTAGTTTTTGTTAATGTTCGTGATAATTAATAAATATCATATTCCCTGTAAAACCCACACTGTAGCTAGGAATATCTGCGAAAACGAATATAGCAAATACCATATTCCTTGTAAAGCATAAACTGTAGCTGGTTTTGAGATTAATTACCATTGATATTAGGACTGATATTCTAATTGGTGTTTAGATGCTATTGAGCTAAATCAAATTCCAGATAACTTTCTTGTGAGCTCTATGGAGAATATTTGTATGGAGGCATTTTTGTTGCTTAACTACATTTTCTATACATCGTTTTTCGAACTGGACTTTCTTGCTAATCTGTGATTGGAATGGATTGCTGATTGGACTGTTGGCTTTCAAAACTGTTTTCCTTTTGTTGAGTGTCTTTTTAAATTTTTTGTATTCTGTTTGTTCGGTTTTTTCCTGGATTCCTGAAATACTTACTAATTCTATTGTACAGGGTGTTTATTATTATTTTTATCAAATATTCAGGAACAAAGCTGAAACTGCAGCACTTCAAAGCCAGAAAAGAGGGATTGGTGATGGATCAGTTGGAATGCTTTCTTCACTTGTTGTAGCAGCTTTAGCTGGGTAATGTAATTTTATGTGTTTCTAGTGTTGCCCTGCATCAGCTTTTTGAAAGCTCTTTTATAAATTGTAGAGCATGTGTGCCAATTACTGTCTTATAATATCCTAAATTGTGTAGTAAATCTCTGCAATTCTCTCTTCTTTGTATATCTGTGAGCTAAATATATGCTTAATAATTTCTCTGTGTAGGTGCGTAAATGTGATGTTGACGAATCCTATTTGGGTAGTTGTGACACGTATGCAGGTAAAAAGAAAATGTGCATTGCAGGGAGCTTCTTATTTGCTGTAAAACACAGAAGGAACAAAACATTGTATGCATTCTTCATCAAGTTCACAAATAAACTTATAGCTGAATAATAATAAGCATGGAGCTTTGGATGTTAGCCGATTGGAGTTTTTAATTATCCTAGAGTCCCAGTAAATAATTATGCCTTGAGAAAATATGGCCCCTTAATGCAGTAAATGTGTTCTTAACTACTATGCCCAACATTATTTTATGCTTAGATTCTGGTCTTTTTTCTTAGATCACACATAAAAAGTTACATTTCTTTCGAGTTCTGAATCATGCATCCGATCTGAATATCCATGTCTTGTTCAGTTTACATGCTTGTTCATATTTAAATTAAACAACGAATGTATTGCAGACTCACACAAAATTCGCTGAGAACGACCATTCTAATAGATTGACAACAACAGCTCCAGAGGAAACAGTTCTTCCTGTCATTGACCCTCTTTCTTATGGAACGAGCCATGTGGTACGTACAGTTGCTTCGTCTGTATTGTTCTTTATGTATTTCTCTTTTAATATTGAATCAAATACAAGTCTCTAATTGAAATAGTAGGATTGTTGTTTTAAACCCTAAAGTAAGATATTATTTCAACCAAAGATATTTTGTTACATTCTTTTGCAAATGGAATACTTGCAGATTCAAGAAGTCTATGATGAAGCAGGACTTTTGGGCTTCTGGAAAGGTGTATTCCCAACATTGATAATGGTACGTGAGAAGTGACTGTTATGCCTGCTAATTGTGCATCCCTGATTGTTCCTGATATTTCTAACAGGTGAGCAATCCGTCGATACAATTTATGCTGTACGAAACGATGTTGAAGAAGCTGAAGAAAAGGCGATCTCTTAACAAGCAGGGCAACAATGGAGTAACTGCTTTGGAGGTTGACTCTGAGTTAATCTCCCTTTACTAATAATTACGTTAGCGTTCCTTGAAAATGTGGTCTTCTCTAGCTTTAACCTCTACAGGAACCGTCTAATTATACTAGATATTTCTTCTCGGAGCTTTAGCAAAACTTGGAGCTACCATCGTGACATATCCTATTCTCGTCGTGAAGGTACGATCGTATGACATGTAGATGTTCATTCTTTTAGAAGAAAAACTTGGCATTAACCATTGTGACATAACCCTTCATTTTCGATTGAAAAAAGTCTAAATCATATCCTTTTCTTTGTTGCTTTTTCAGTCGAGACTTCAAGCAAAACAAGTTACAACCGGGGACAAAAGGCATCATTACAAAGGTATGAATCGTTACAATAAACCTTATGCTCAAAACTTCTGGAGTCTTTTAACTATGAATATCTAACTGAGACAAACCCAAAAAGGCTATTGCGTTCTGGTTGGTCTTCGGAGAAAACAAAAGCCGACGATGGGACATGTTTATATGTTTCAACTTAAGGTTCAGATTGTTTTCTAATACTTCCATCACGTGCATCGATATAGGGACTCTGGATGCTATTATAAAGATGATCCGGTACGAAGGCTTCGCCGGGTTTTACAGAGGTATGAGCACGAAAATCGTACAAAGCGTTCTTGCAGCCGCCGTGTTGTTCATGGTTAAAGAAGAACTTGTCAAGGGTGTTCGACTGATGCTTATTAAAGATGGCTTTCGTGTTACGAAATCTAAGTCTCCTTAGTGAATACTCTCGTGCTTCTTACCCCACTCCAGTTATTTAAACAATTTGTAGTTGGTTAAAATATAAAAGTTGAATTATAGCATATAATTGAAAATATATAAAAATATTATTACTCATTGAAATAAACCTGTAACATTTGAATGGAATTTGGAAATATCAACAATAAATTTGTTTATGTTCACAATTTGCAAATCAATTTTTTATAAATAGTTATGTTTATATTGAATGTATTCATAATCTTCGCCTTCGTTTTGTACATCATAGTTTAATGTAGCATAGGGACGATATGAGCGTGGCCATTGGAGCCACGGTTCGGAACCATCTGCAAAGAATGTAATGGAAGAACGATCAGCTACTCTACTTGCCATGCATCTCAAGTCCAAGTTTAAAACATTCTCACATCCACTCGAGATAATTCGATATATTAAAATCGTAAATACTTCTATATTGGAGAAGATATAAACAAAGAAGTAACAAAAAATTGGGATATTTCCACTGTTTGTCAACAAGCATGTAACTCGAGCAGAATTCGAAGTAGTGCCATTGTTATTAAAACAGATTGGGACAAATACCAGTTGATCCTGTTCAATGTTTGTCGGAACCGCAGCTTTATCGATAACTTTTGGAGTCCGTATCTAGATGCCACCATCTCCGCTGCTAGCCAGAGCAATGGTAAGGGTATGTGGATGAGACTCAGATACATCTGACCCCAAGTACATCTACTCGCATGACACGAACAAGCTCTTCGTCTTTCTTCTTCCAAATAAATATTCAAGAGTCGAATCCGCTAACCACATACTCAGATTTGGGTCCAAAGAAGCTAACACCCTTCACATTCTGATAATATCCATGTCCCTTTTAAACTTGAGGAATAGCTTTTCCATGTCCCTTATAAACTGGATCCGTCTCTGTAAGCTCACTCTGATCTGAAAAGGCCAAGCATGTTACTCCACTTAAATCATTATCAATCACATGAGAGGATCAAAAATAATCTGCAGGTTGACCAAAATCCGTTGAACCATCTCCTTTATATTTTTGAATATTGTAAAGGCGGGTATAATCATCCCATCCCCTGACCGCAAAGAGATTCGGGTTACCTGGATCGATTGCAATAGCATGCAGAGGAATAACCCGAATGAGAGCCCTCTGACCATTTATCTGTTTGCGTTTAAAATGTGTTGCAGCTTCTGCAGTTCTAAGATCAATCTGAAATGCAAAAGTATAAAACCACTCCACTAGTAAGCAATAGCTAGATCATCATAGAACAAACGAACAAGAAGAATAAGAATTCGATGAATGTTCAAATTATGATAACTTGAAACACGTCACATGCTGCACTAGTCCATCTTCACCACAAGTGTAAACTAAATGAAGGTTTCCTGGTTCAACGGCCAAATTATTCGCTCTTCCCTGATGTTTGGCCACCAGCCTAGTTTCAACACCGCACTCGGAGATTCGAGCATGTCGAGCCTACAATTAGGAAACAGTTTTTAGTCGGTTTCCTCAATTCACTACATAGAGGCCTTTGCTGGATCGAATATTTTCAAATATTGTAAAAGCGAGTATAATCATCCTATCCCCCGACCGCAAAGAGATTCGGGTTCCTTGGATAGATTGCAATAGCATGCAGAGGAAAACCCGAATGAGAGGCCTGTGACGATTTATCTGTTTGCATTTAAAATGTGTTGCAACTTCTGCAGTTCTAAGATCAATCCGAAATGCAAACTTATAAAACCACTACATAGAGGCCTTTGCTGGATGCTAAAATAAGAAATTCCTTCACCTGACCATCTGAAGCACATGTAATCAAGCTACGATAACCTGTGTAAGGCATGGTTTTACCTCGGAAAACATAGTAGACACTGGCATGACCTGATTCAAAAGTGAGCTTGGGAAGTCCAGTTTCCCAATCCCATAGTATAATCTGCTTGTCATCAGCGCCAGAGGCTAAAATGTTACCATCACCATTAAAGCTCGCAGTGTACACACAACCTCTATGCTTTTCGAGTTTCTTGAAAATGCCGAATCAGACACAAGATCCCGGAACATAAAACAGATGACTAAATCAGAACCTAATGCAAAATGGGACTTTGTAAAGGACAGTAAATCTGTCACTTCCACCTTTTACACCATTCATTGAATTTCTCAGTAAGATATGATAGTATATAAGATAAACAGCACATACAATTGTCAAAAAAAGAAAATTCTGGCATTTGAATTCTCATTTAAACATTTTTTTAAGTAGTTTGAAATGATTATAAGATAATATCTATTCATAATACTTTTTAATTATTGACAATCCGTACACACATAGTTGCTTAAACCTGAGTCCTCTAAGAGAACGACTATTGACAACGCGTACACACGCAGTCAAACATAAGTTCCCCGAATATGTACATTTATTTATTCAGTTTCAAGAAAACATGGAAAACCATCACATACGATCAGCTCCTCTGCTTGTCATACATCTCAAGTCCAACTTAAAAACATGCTTCCATCCACTCAAAGATAATTCGATATATTAAAATCATAAACACTTGTTTCTATTGGAGAAAATTTAAGCAAGAACGACCGAGAAATCGGGATGTTTCCACTGTTTTATCCTACTGTCAACAAGCATGTTGTTCAAGCAGAATGCATTTCATGTCATTAGCTACCTCATTTGTAACCCCAAAATTAGTACCAGTGTTCGGTTAAAGTTTTAAATGTCCGTTATGGTTAGAGTCAAAATGAAAGAAAGAAAAAAAATAAAAAATAAAAATGTAAATAAATTTATACAATTTACCTTTTGTGTCAAAAAACAGTGGTAATTTTTTGGAACAATTTCTATTTAGAGGAGAAGAATAAGAATTTTACTCCTAATGAATTTTAAACCTACAATCTAAAAGAGTGTTAACTGAGAATTTTAACTACTTACTTTAGAGATTATTGACAAACAATACTACATTTTAAAAAATATATTCCACCGAACGTCTGACCAAATTTCCTGTTACACAAGTAAAATCGCACCTATTAAAAGTATCTTCCGAAAATGACACATCTTTATTTCATGTATAAGAAAAGATGTTATTTTCTTAAATATTTTTTTGAATTTTAGTTTTTTATTTTACAACAAATGACCGACATCCCTATTGACTTCATCAACTGCATCCCCTTTCAAACAGCTCCCATGGATGTTAACCATCCTACTGTGTTCACCTTCAAATGACTCTTTAAAGCAACTCACGACCGATAATACCTTATAATCAACTCAGCACGATAATTTTGTGTACCCCTAAACTTTTGTGTACCGAAAAAGAACATAAAAACCTATGGAAACCGCACTCGATGTAATTTTTTTAACTTAAATCCATATGTTTTAGGTACAATTTCTCAACATTGTTGCCAATACATAAAGAAACACTTGAGCAGTCCTTGCTATCATCATCATCATCAATATCATCATGAACATCAAGACAATCATATTCACCACCACCATTCGTCATCGTCATCCAAAGATGACTCCATACCACCAAGAGCAGAAACAAATTCATCATCTTCACCTTCATTATATACAGCATAGTTGAATGTAGCATAGGAGACTATACGAGAGAGGGTACGGGGGCACCGTTCAGAACCTTCTGCAAAGAAGTAATGGCAGAACGATCAGCTCCTCTACTTGCCATACATCTCAAGTCCAAGCTTAAAACATTCTTCCATCCACTCAAGAACAAGAATTTGGGATGTTTCCACTGTTCTATCCTACTGGCAACAAGCATGTTGTTCAAGCAGAATGCATTTCATGACATTGTAACCTTAAAAGTAGTACCAGTATTATTAAAAAGAGATTAGGACAAGACATACCTGTTGATCCTGCACAATGTTTGTTGGATGCGTGGCTTTATTGATAGCCTTTGGCGTCCATATCCTGATGCCATCAACTTCGCTACTAGCCAGGGCAGTGGTATGTGGATGAGACTCATTCGAGAGCCGCTTCCACTAACCACATACTCAGATTTAGGTCCAAAGAAGCTAACACCCTTCACATTCTGATAAATTCCATGTCCCTTATAAACTTGAGGAATAGCTTTTTCATTTGCTTCACTACATGCAAAAGATGGGGAAGATGGAACTGGATTGTGCCCCAATCTCATATCTCGTGTAAAGAGAAATGGATTTGTCTCTGCATGAGACAAGAAGCTCACTCTGATCTGAAAAGGCCAAGCATGTTTCTTCACTTAAATAATTATCACCCACATTAGGGGGTAAAAATAGTCTGTAGGTTGTCCGAAATCAGTTGAACCATCACACTTATATTTTCGAACATCATAAAGGCGAGTATAATCATCCCATCCCCCGACCGCAAAGAGATTCGGGTTCCTTGGATCGATTGCAGTAGCACTCAGAGGAATAACCGGCCTATGAGCACTGCGACAGTTTATTGGTTGGCATTTAAAAAGTTTTGTAGCTTCTGCATTTCTAAGATCAATCTGAAAGGCAACAAAAGTATAAAACCACTCCACAAGTCAGCTATGGCTAGATCATCATAGAACAAAACAACAAAAAGAATAAGAATTCCATAAATGTTCTAAATTATCAACTCAACTCACATGCTGCACTAGTCCATCATCACCAAAAGTGTAAACTAAATGAGGGTTTCCTAGTTCAACGGCCAAATTATAAGCTTTTCCCTGATGTCTAGCCACCAGCCTAGTTTCGACACCGCACTACGAGATTTGAGCATGTCGAACCTACAAATAAGTAACAATTTTTACTTGGTTTCCTCAATTCACTGCATAGAGATATTTGCTGCATGCCCAAACAAGAAATTTTTTCACCTGACCATCTGAAGCACACGTAATCAAACTACAATCGCCGGTGTAAGGCATGAATTTAGCTCGGAAAACATTGTAGACTCTGGCATGACCTGACTCAAAAGCAAGCTTGGGAAGTCCAGTTTCCCAGTCCCATAGTATAATCTGCTTGTCAACTACTCCAGAAGCTAAAATGTTACCATCACCATTAAAGCTCGCAGTGTACACACAACCTCGATGCTTTTCAAGTTTCTCGAAAATGTCTAATCGTAGCACGAGATCCTGGAACATAAAACAGGTAACTAAATCAAAACCTGGAGCAACATGGGACTTTGTAAAGGACATTAATTGAATTTCTCAATAAGATATGAACATAGTACTAAATTACGGCAGTAACATAGTGTAACAGTCGCATCATAATGATTTTTAAGGTTACCGGCATTACAACCACATCCTTAATCTAGAAACACAATTGGTTTTAGGAAACAAATTACGTCCTAAAGTCCACAATCACAAGACTAATGTGAATCCACAACCGCAATTTAGTAATATGGATACGACAGTATATAAGATTAACAACAACTACAATTGTTAAGAAAATAGAATTATTAGTAACCTCGGAAGCAGCACTGCGTTGGGCGAATTTCCTATTCGATAGTTCTCCGACTTTCCGTCGCCAAGCATCAACCAATGCCGTGTCCACACTCGCCATTGCCCTTTTATTCATGACTCACTGAATTGAAGCAATTGAAGCACCGCCATGTCTAAACTTCGAAGTGTTGGCTTTACTAGTTTATTTTTGGTACTGATTTCACGTAGGTTGAAGTGGAACCAGAGGCCTTTTACAGGGTTCGTCATAACCAAATATATAAACTTTTTTGGGGTAAAAGTATCTTATTGGTCCCTGTACTATAGTATTTTGGGCTTTATTTTGATCTCTTTGTTGAAAAAACGGAGAAATTAACTGATATTGTTATAATAATTTGAGGTTTGATGAGTGATATTCTTGCGGGTGCGCCTGTGTCGGTTTATGAAATTTGACAGGCTATTCGTATGTAGGGAGGGAGAGTGACTTGGGAATCGGGATAGATTCCTAAAAATTCATCTTATCCCATGAATGACGATTTTGGATAGATTATAGTAAGCTTGTATTGTTTGGTTCTCACATTGATGATATTTGTTTATTGTGTTTGAGCACGATTGAGTTGAGACCCGCAATTATTTATTTTTAGATAAAATATATGTATTAAACTTAATTTAAAAAAAAAAAAAGAAAATGTACAAAATCTCGATATTCAGTCAAATAAATTTTATTCTGTACAAAATTTTGCATTAATGGAATCTACTCTATCAAACTTCTTCCTATAAATATTGAAGTGAATTAGCTTCTTTAAAGAATAAAGAATCTCAGCTTCATTCCTAGTCGAACACCCGAAGATCCTCCTATTACGTTCTTCCCATATACGATAAATAAAATCATTCCAAACCAATTAATTAAGTAATAAGATAGTGAGCGATTTACCTTTAAGCCATGAAACCACTCAATCCAGTTCATGTTCCCATGAGAGAATCAAGTTATCCAATCTGCAAAAATCAACAGTAGCTTTCCAACTCTTCATAGAAAACGCACATCCAAAGAAAATGTGATCCTTGTATTCATCAGCATCAACACGTAACACTCAAATACTGTTCACATTCAGCCCCATTCTCCGCAATCTATCCTTGCCTTAAGGGACAATGACGAACCAATCAACTACAACATGCTTAGGGACATGCATAAGAAACCGAATCAATTTGTGCCACACAACCCTATCCTCTTTCCTCCTAAGCTCGGACCAAATATCTCCGATCTTCGCTATCATCGAAATAGCAGAAAAAAGCCCACGAGCCTCATTTCTTAACGATAAATTTTTTCTCAAACTCCAGTCAATGACCCCTCCATCTTAAAGGTCTAAAAGTCAGCCTCCTTAATGACATAGGCTTTAAACCAAGCAACCCACAATGAACCCTCCATACCAAAAATATGCTTTAACAACTGAAACATACAAGCCATAATCCAGCTAAAATGGTCTCTAATGCCGAGACCACCCTCTGACTTAGGTAAACAAATACACTCCCAACTCTCTCTAGCGCCCGAAGCAGGAGTATCAAGCCCTTTCTAAAAGAAACGAGAACAAATCTGTTCAATACGTTTCAGCACAGCTTGGGAAGAAGAAGCTGTCTACATCAAAAATTGACCACAGTAAACAAATATACTTATTCTAAGAGTGTTTGGGAAAATATTTTGCAGACTTTCGGTTTGACGAGACCGGTACTAGGATAGATTCAAGAACGTGGTTGAGCGTGTAAGAATGACAAGAGTAAATCGCTGCTGGCTTTTATGTTCTGATTAGCGTGGAATGGTTTCATCACCTTGATTTGGAAAGAAAGAAATAAACGATTTTATCCGGGGGAGCTCGCCCTGGAAGAGAGATTTTGAGCCGGTTGAAGGAAATGGTTAGAACTAAAGTGACTAGTGTGAAAGGCTGCAAGCTGGGGAAACTGATTAGGGCCAGCCGTGTAGTGTGGGGTTTGGGGTGTAAGAGTTTTATTTGAGCTTGCAATTATTTTTGTACATGATGCTGCAGTGTAATTCTGTCTTCTCTTGGATATAAAATTGTTTATTAAAAGTTCATTATTTCAGATGAATTAATTAATATTATCTAAATAATTAAGTAATTTGATTCACAAAATTCGTATTTCAACATAAAAATAAAATCACCCCTATAATTGAGTAACTATCCAGATAATTTACCTAAAGAAATCTATTAGCATTCATTGCTATCATCATGGTTATCACCATAAAGATCTTTGGCTATTTATTATGTATATCCAATTGGCTATAACATTATGTTTGCGTGAACAGGAGAATATAGTTATTGGTAATTTTACCGTAGGGGAGTATTACATTATTGCTGTTATTGTAATCCACACCCATCTTCCATGTCTGCCTTCTCTATGTTGTAGTTTCTTTCAAAAACCTGGTGGGGAGTCCTTGCACAAGGAACTGGAAATGGCCCATTCTGAATCCCACTCTCGGTTCCCACTGCTTCCCATCTGCAAAATCCAACAAGTCGACTAATCGTGGACAGACACAGGATTTAATGTCACGGGTTAAATTTATAGAACTTTAAGGGATGAAAATAAATTATCAATAGAAAATAAAAATAATATATGAGAAATTGAAATTTTTAAGGGACGACCGTCTCCTTTAACCCCTTCGTCCATCCCTTAATAAGTCCTCTTCCAACACCAAATATATATATATATATATATAATTCGATTTCTCATTGTCTTTTTCCATAATTTTCATGAATTTAGCCACCTTATTTGCACTTTGATTTTCAAACAACATACCTGAAGTTGGAAACCAAGTGGTGGGTCACTGAGCATCTCCAATTTTGCATGCTCGTTTCCAGGACAGGCATGCACTCCACTGCTGAATGGCATGAACGTGTTGGGTTTTGGGCCAACCTGCAACAAACAATGAGAATAACTCATCTAATGGACTGCAACCAGAAGAAACGCCTCTAGTGTCTGTTCATACCTCAAAGGATCGGATTCCCTAGGATCGGCGAAGAACTCGGGATTGCGATGAATGTTTCTGAACAGAAGCATCACTTTCCAACCTTTCGGAATAAGGTAACCTTTGTATTCCACATCAACAACTGCTTCTCTAAAAGTGAAGGATATGATGCTTGCCATTCTCTGCGTCTCGAGTATAACCTTGTGAGTAATTGGCATGTTCCTTGTGTGTGACCAACTCAGCGGCTGATTGTTTTTTTCAATCAATCTCTCAATTGCCTTGTGTTCAGCCTACAAACACAAGACTCACCCATAAGTTCTATTAAGATAATGCTCTAGTGCTGATCCAGCCCTACCTTGACTGCCTCCAGAAGTTTGGGATTGTCATGGAGGTACTTGACAATCCATGTCATAACACCAGCCGTGGTGTCCTCATCGGCGAAAAGAGTTCCGATGATGTTATCGGCGATTTGATCATCGATCAAGACTTCACCTTTTTCATCCTTGGAATTCAATAAACAGCCCACCAGATCCCTTTTAACCAACTTCTTCTCCTTCCTTTCACTTAATATCACTCAATATCTTGCTTAGCATCTTCCTTGCCTGCAGTGAGTTCTTTTTGTTTACAGGAAGTACGAAAGAATTCGAGGAGTCAACTAATATGGGATTGCTTATTACCTGTAATGCCTTTCTGTATAGAGTTCCAGAGATGTTTGTAGGGAAGGAATTGTAGCCATTGTCGACCATGAAGTAGTTCTTAAGCTCCTCACTATATTGAGCCTCGAGGCGGCCAAAAATCATTAGAGTACAAACTTGGAAAGAAATCTGCAACTATTTGCAGATAACATGAACAAAACTTCCAACCAATCATTTGTTTGACGACGACATTGAACCGAACAGACCTTTTTCATTTCATGAAAGGTATCAACCACATTCCCCCATGCCAAGAATCCAGGGCCGAGGCTACTAACTGGCCCGTCCTTGAGCCTGGGCAAGTGCCCCCACTTGCCCAGGCCCCTCTTGTAGGCCCGAAATTATAAGTTCACCTATAATTAAAAAAATATATTATCTATTTAATTATTCATCTATTATTTTATTTCTATTTTGATTAACTAATTATTATTTTTAAAAATTATATTTAATGTTATGTTTTTTTATTATATATTATTAAAAATTTAATGAAAATATTAATGTGATATTTTTAAATTATTTTTTATTTTTCACTTATTTATTCTTTTATTATTTTTTTATAAGATGAGTACAGTTAAAATATAATATATACCTAAAATATAATCGTGCTTGTTTTGTGAGAATAATAGAGTGTTTAATAACTTTTATTAGCTTTTTATTTAAAACCTAACATGTAATACCCCTTATAAAAACCTTGACTTCGATTGTTTGGCAGTGTCATCCAGTCTCAGAAGATCAACTGCGCCATTTCCTCATAAACAAACATGCAAGAAAAGAAGGCGAAAACGGGAAATAAAAACGCGAAGAAGACGAATCTCTTAGATCACAGCTCCATCAAACACCTCCTCGATGAATCCGTCTCCGAGGTAAAAAGAAAATTGAAAAAAATAACGAATCAGAGCAACCCTAGATCCGTTCATTTTCACAATTACAGTTCAATTTTGAGTAATTATCTCTATCTTTTTTATTTTAAATAGATTGTTAAGAGTCGTGGATATGTTGAAGATGTGAGGATGAGCAATGTCAGATTATTGATTGGAACTATTACTATTGTAATCGCTCTTGTTGCTCAATTTTACAATAAGAAGTTCCCCGAAAACCGTGATTTCCTCATCGGTTGCATCGTATTATATCCTTTTACCAATGGACCAACCAATTGGGAGAGAATCAATAGATTCCTTTTCGGGAGCGATTCACTTATTATTGTAATTTCTAGATTAATAATTATTTAGAAATGTTTTTAAATTTGGATTGAATTGTTTTATATAAGTTTTTGAATTTGTGTTGATAAACTGGATAGAATCCAAATTAGGATCTATTTGGCTGTTAATTTTGGCTATTTAATAGAAACAAATAGTTATGTGGTCGTGTATTATTAATATAAATACAAATCTATGCATAATTATCCATATGAAAGTGAAATTAGGAATTAAGTACTTTATTATTCAAAAAAAAAAAATTTCAAATTTTAATTATTCAAAAGTATATTAGTTTTTGTAACCAAATGGATTTTTTGTTTTATTTCTAGATGTAAAACTGAGCAGTGAAAGCAGCAACTAGACTGAGTATTAGATAACTTAATATATTTATTTTTGTCTGCCATATGGAAATTTTGTTTATGAACTTGAAATTCCCATCTATTTATTACTTTTTAAAATGATTAAGAGCAAAAACTCTTTTCCTTCATCTGACCTTGCTTCAACATTTGGCTTCTTTGTTACTTGTGAAGAGAAGCCAAAATGATGATAATATTTTCGTCTTAGTTTCTAATGCTTAAACCGGAAAATAACTGGTTAGAATGTATCTACTACTAAGAACTAGATGGTGTTAACTTAGGGGCTATTTGTTTGCCTCTTAATGGAATCATTTAACGCCTTTGTTTCGCACCTCTGAATGATTCAGTGCTGACTGATTCAGTACAGAAGTACATTCTGAATGATTCAGAGCCATTATCAAACAACATGTCACATTCAGAGCTAATTCATACAGAGCCTCATTCAGCATTTGAATCATTCAGCGCTTAATCATTCTGAAGTAAACAAACAGCCTCTTAGTTTTCACCTTTCCTGTGACTTTCATGTTTCTTTGATCCTTGACTATGGCAAATATATAGTTTTCAATGGAGCACTCCAGCTGATTGCGTACACAAAGGAAAAGAAGGCCATTCTCTTTACTTATCCTCCTGCTGTAAGTTCTCTTTCATTATAATTAAATGTTTCCCTCTTTCTTTCTTTTTTTGAAAAAATTAAATGTTTCCTTATGTTGTGCTATGTGTTAATTTCTTTTTCTTTAAGTGGAGTTTATGTTTCATGTATGATAAGTTTGGACTTCATTCTTTGCATGTTTAAGCCTGTGATGTTGAAATTTCCGCAATATATGCATGGTTACTGATTCATGATGTTACCGTCAAACTCTGTTCTCTCATATTAGTATGATTATATGATGGCACATTTTAATACGAATTCATTGTCATCTAGCACACTGTTCAAGTTTCCATTAGAATGTTGAAGAAGTATTTGCATCATAAATAAAACTGAAGAAAAAAGCGTTTTAGGACTTTATCCACCTTTTTGTGTCCTCTTTATGGTTAAACTATTACATTTCATCCTTATTACAGTGTTCCTTTTTAGTCAATCAATGCTTTATGCTTAAAGTAAATGTGGGAGTGAGATAATGCGAAGCATCTAATGACATCGTTATTCTTGAATATTGCCCAAGGTAATGATGTTTATTTTTTACAAACTCCTATTACTGCCTAACCTCCATGATCTTTCAGAAAAAAAACTTACATAGGGTGGTACTTTTTGCATGCCTTTGGTTAGAAGGAACTTACCAAATTACAAAGTCTAGAAATAAATCCACTATACAATGGACCTAGTTTTCGAGGATCCTGAGATGCCCTTCTGTTCAAAGCCCTGTTTGTGTTGTTTTCTACATCTAAGTGGTGATTTATTGTTTTCAGGGATCTGTCACTAGCACCGGCTTGGTGGTCTCTACAAAGTTGCCGAGGTTCTCTGATCTTTATACCCTTACCATAGCAAGTGCAGATCCCAAGTCGATATCTGCTGGGAAACCTGTGGAGTTGACCAAAAGTGTTACCCAATGGTAGCTCCATCTCCCTCTCCCATTATTTAGCTCTCTCCTACCCTGTTTGTTCACGTGCCATCCATTTGCATTTCTAACCTATAAAAATATTGCAGGTTCACCAAGGACGGAGTATTGGTGGAGGGCCTGTTCTGGAAAGATGTCGAAACACTAATAAATGATTATGCAGCAGAACCAAAGAAAAAGAAGTGATCTAGATAACTAGTTACTAAGCCTTACTCTGATAGGTTACATTGTGTGAATTCTTATAGGTTCACCACATTTATTGGTCTTTTGTTTGAGGATTTTAAACTAAATGAATTTTTCCCGAGGATTAGAAGACAATTTTCATCGTTTAAGGAACAATGAATTCCTGCTAATGAAAAAAGATTTGGTATCTTTAGTTTTATTGATTTTTGTAGTTTAGTTGGTTATGGCTTATTTAATAACTGATGATAATTTCCAAGTAGCTTTCATCTATCTTAATCTTCCTAGCTTAATTGGTGTTAGGACCAGTTTTGAATTTCAAACTGCAGATTGTCGCTTGCCTTGGTTGCCAGCTCTTTACCGTTACCATGTTTCCTACTGCATTATTTATTGATTTGCTTGCCTTATCGATTGTCCTATTTATTTTTCTGGGGTCAAATTTTGGTTCTGGCCCCTTTACCATGCTTAAATTGCTTTCTTGACGAACTTATAAAATTGTCATACTTTATTTTATATCTCAGGCCATAATTGTGTATGTGTTATTTATATAACTGGTGAAGTTAATAATTTAGTTTATAATCAAGTCTTAATTCGGTTAGCATGATTGTTATTATAATCTAAGAAGATATGATGGGTTCATGTGCACTTAAGTGTGTATTATCTTTCAATTTAGAATTTTAGGGATATGATTGTTTAAGCATTATTGAAATTGTTTTAACATGTTTTCGTTTAATGTTTTTCCCCTGAATATTGTATCATAGAATTGTTTCTTTTAAACTTGGAATTTTGATCTAAGTCCAGCAAAGGTAGGTTGATCTCCTGCTTCTGGTCCACGAGTGTACTTTTCAAAGTTAAGAGCATAATAAGAACAATGACCGACTGTGTCAGTGTCGTGGAGTACATTAATGGTTTCCGCGTGGGGCAGTGTGTGAACTCATGGCTAGCAAAGCCGTAGCGACAGGAGTGAAACGAAAAGATGGGAAGACTATTGACTTCCAAAGCAATAAAAACTTGTTTAAATTGGATTAGCCTGCAAATTCACTAACACGTAATCATCAAAACCTACAGAAAACAAGCTCAAACATGGCCTCACCTGATTGGTTCATCACCCTTGTTCTTTCTTGTGTCTCTATCGGTGTTGGGGTGGGGGGGTTTTCAACTCTGGCTTCCGGTTTAATCATGTCAGCCACGGCATCGTCGCTGGAGATGGAAGCAGAAGCTCTCCTCCATACTGGTTGGTGGAGTTGGCATAGCAACGACACTTCAAAGCGTTGCGAATGGCGAGGTATATCATGCAATGAAGCTGGAAGTATCACCCTCATTGATCTTTATTTTTCTGGGAGTACTGGAAACATCCCACCTCAAATAGGTGCTTTATCATCACTGGAGTACCTCAATCTTTCTTACAATTCTCTAACAGGTGAGTTACCTCAATCCCTTGGAAAACTTCCTCGTTTGAAACACCTCATCCTTTCTTTGAACTCTTTTGAGGGTTCTATCCCTTACACTTTGGGTAATTTAACCAATTTGAAGCAGTTGGACCTATCCCATAACCATATCACTGGGGATATTCCTCCAACTTTGGGTGGTTTAATGAATTTGGAAATTTTGAGTTTTACTTCAAACCAAATTAGTGGTTTGATCCCTTCATCACTATCTAATTTATCCAGATTTAACAGATTGTACCTTGACTCTAATCTTTTAGAAGGTCCCTTACCACAAGAAATCGGGGATTGCAGGACTTTGCAAGAACTGTCTTTGAGTAACAATCATATAAATGGAAGCATTCCCTTTGAAATCTTCTTTTGTCCTCGTACTCTTAATCTAAGTCATAATTTCATCCATGGACAAATACCGCTACAGTATGGTAACCGGCCTTACGAGAGGGTTTTGGATATTAGCCACAATAATCTAACGGGCATGATCCCTGAATCTTTGTGGCTTTCGAGCATGGTCGATCTATCATATAATTCTCTAGAGGGTCCTATTCCAAATCGATTGATTGAGTTATTTGGACCTGACTCATTTCGGGGCAACAAGCATTTATGTGGAAATGTCAAAGGCTTCCCTCAGTGCTCAACAACAAGTATCAAAGTGAAAATCGTTGTTCCAATTGTCGGTGTTTTAGCCTTGTTAGCTTTAGGATTTTTACTCTGGCTTAGATGCACGCCAAAATATAGAACCGCTGAGCCAAATGTCACAAAAAATGGAGATTTTTTCTCCATCTGGAACTTTGATGGACGAATTGCCTTCCAAGACATCATTGAGGCCACAAACGACTTTGATATCCGATATTGTATTGGCACCGGCGGTTATGGTAGTGTTTATAGAGCACGTTTACTGAGCGGAAAGATTGTTGCCTTAAAGAAACTCCACCGCAGAGAAGCAGAGGTCCCAGCTTTTGACAGGAGTTTCAAGAACGAGGCCAAAATGTTATCTGAGATACGACACAAGAACATCGTGAAGCTTCATGGATTTTGTCTCCACAATCGCTGCATGTTTCTGATTTACGAATACATGCCCCGAGGGAGCTTGTTTTCTGTCTTCATGGACGATACGGAAGCAATGGAGATGGATTGGATCAAAAGAGTAAAAGTAATCAAAGATACGGCATGCGATTTATCTTATCTGCATCATGATTGTCTCCCACCGATTGTTCATCGAGACATATCGAGCAATAACATTTTATTGAACTCAAATTTCGAGGCTCGTGTCTCGGATTTCGGCACTGCTAGACTCCTCGATCCTGATTCATCCAATCAGACAATGCTTGTTGGTACCTACGGATATGTGGCACCAGGTACAGTTTCCAAGCTTTGGGTTTACTTTTTTTTCATCTTTTTTTTTAACTGTCTTATCGAGTGTCAAAGTTCTTGTGAATGCAGAGCTTGCTTATACCATGGTTGTAACTGAAAAGTGTGATGTGTATAGCTTTGGAGTATTGGCACTTGAAATACTCATGGGAAAGCATCCTGGTGAACTCTTGGCATCACTCTCAACATTATCTTCTAATAATATAATGTTAAGTGATATATTAGATCCACGCCTATCGCTTCCGAGTGATCGAAGAGTGGCAAAGGATATTGTTTTTGCTGCAACAATTGCCTTTGCTTGCTTAAGGTCAAATCCAAAGTTCCGGCCAACGATGAAGCGTGTGTCTCAAGAGTTTCCTTTCAGAAAAGAGCGGTAGCTGATCGTCTCCAAATTATCTCCGTGTTGCAACTTATGAACCATGATCTGTATATGGACGGTGAAGGCAAAATTCAGCCTGAGAATTCAGTCCAAGATGATGAAATTCATGGCGGTTCTTCAACTTAATTCCCATCTCTAGCATTCTTCCAACAATGCGAGGCATCTTTACGTTATTCGGTCTCTTCATTTCTTGTGTTTTATTTCGATTTCAGATGTTTGTAAGCTGTGAAACTGTACTATTGAATACTGCAACCTGTCTTTGTTCTTGCAAATCTGAAGTCTGAAAAGGTTACAATTGGGACACCATATTTCAAAAAGTTATTTTCGAATCACTTAATTAACTGAATGTAATAATCACGTCACTATGCCGCTAAATCTTAAAAGGACATTAAAAAGGTGTCATTATAAAACATTTATAATTATTTTTTTGTTACAAGTGATGGTGGTAGGAGTCATTTGTGTTTGTCGAAGATTGGAGGCTTTATTCTATACCCTACCCCTAACTCAAAATGCTAAATCCTAAACCTTAAATCATAGAGTCTAACTTAAAACCCTCAATTTATGGTTCTAAGTTAGGGGTGTGATATAGAATAATGCAATTGAATAATTTTGAGGGTTAAATTGATGCAAAAATACGATAGAGACAAAAATGATAAATTAATTATACTATAGGGGTAGAAGTTACTTTTTACCAATTTTATAATTTCTAACTCTTACATTTCTAATATAAATTCTTAAATTTACCTACACTAACATAAAAATGTTATATTTGTACCTTATAACAATTGTTTTAGTTTTGGTGCTTTGTCGTGACCGTCCCTTTTATGGGGCCACAACCGGGTAGGTACGCCAAGGCCAACCATGTATAGGGCCTAGTGGCAGGGTAGAACAAGCTTGTCCTCTTTTCAAGCATTTTAATGTTTTAGGTAGGGAGTAGGGGTATGACTTACTGTCCCCTGTTCGAGCATTTCAACGTCTATAGGTAGCATTTCTGTTATTTTGTTTTCGCATATATGTAGGGGGTGGACAGCCGGCAGAGTTTGGGCTGATCCACAGGTAAAGGTACGTGTCTTGTGAACACCATCGAGGGCCGCCCCTACGGCCTAATCGGTGGTGTGGGTGAGTCTTCTGTAACCCGATATTTCTTTTATTAATAAAACATTTTTCTCTCGGAGAAGTCCGGGGGTTGAGGTGTGCATCCGCTATGCCCCACGGGCTCGGATTATTGGTCGAAGGACCATGTGGCTATAAAGATCTAACGCGATGTTTGTTTATGCTTGATCAGATCTACGAGATTAAGGCTGACTTGGTTGGGAAGCGTCCCTTTCGAGTGCCACACGGATTAGCAACCGAACCAACTAGGCTAAGTCCGTGACACTTGGTATCAGAGCACAGAGGTGCGTGTTCATTTACTAAAAGCACGGAGGTGCTCATTTTGTTGAGTAAAGCATGATAGTGCTTGTTACCTGCTTGTGGCACAGCTGTGCACAAGTGCTAAACCTAGCACAGAGGTGCTTCACCTCAGGCCGCAGCACGGAGGTGCTCGGTCATTTGTAAAAGCACGGAGGTGCTTGATTTTAGATTGTAGCACAGAGGTGCTCAATCATTCCAATGCACAGAGGTGCCAGAATTTAGATTGAAGCACAGAGGTGCTCAGTCATAGTTGGCTGCACAGAGGTGTCAGTCCTCGATTGAAGCACAGAGGTGCTCAATCATCTTAGCTACACAGAGGTGTCAGCTCTCGGCTGAAGCACAGAGGTGCTCAGTCAATTTTTTTTAAACTACACAGATGTGTCAGTTCTCGATTGAAGCACAGAGGTGCTCAATCACTTTTGGCTACACAGAGGTGTCAGCTCTCGATTGAAGCACAGAGGTGCTCAATCGTTAATTCTAGCACAGAGGTGTTATGGATTCAGCACAGCGGTGCTCTTTTCCTTCCTAATTTAGGCACGATTGTGCTTATTTGTGTTGCAGGCATAGGGGTGCCAGCGAGTTACAAGAATGGTTCGCACACGAAATGG